GTAGTAGTAGTAGTAGTAGTAGTAGTCGTAGTCGTAGTCGTAGTCGTAGTCGTAGTCGTAGTCGTAGTAGTGTAGTAGTATTAGTAGTAGTAGTTATAGTAGTAGTAGTAGTAGTAGTAGTAGTAGTAGTAGTAGTAGTAGTAGTAGTAGTAGTCGTAATCGTAGTCGTAATCGTAGTAGTAATAGTAGTAATAATCGTAGTTGTATCGCTAGCAGTAATAGTAGTAGTAGTAGTTAGTAGTAGCAGTAGTAGTAGTAGTAGTAGTAGTAGTAGTAGTAGTAGTAGTAGTAGTAGTACTAGCAGCAGCAGCAGCAGCAGCAGCAGCAGTAGCAGTAGTAGTAGTAGTAGTAGTAGTAGTAGTAGTAGTAGTAGTAGGGGGAGGAGGAGGAGGGCAAGGGTGGTTGTCCTAGCGAGCACGTCTTCTTACTCAAACTGTTGCGTCTACTGCAAATCGTGTGTTTCTGCGTGTTTGAATGCGCGTGTGAGTGGGCAGGTCTGCACCAGAGCGCGTGCGTGCGTGCAGGGGCGGACGTGTATCCTTGCGCATGTGTTCGTGTGTGTTGACGTGTGCCCTTGGGCCCGCGCGAACAGCATATAATCACGTATGCCCGCTCATCTGGCCGCGCTCTACGAATCGCGTCCCAAGACCGCCACGCCGCTAGAAGGGCGATCATGGGCGCGACGTCTTCGAGGCAGACAGCCCACGTGGTCACCAGTTCCAGAACTCGGCACGTCAGATGGGTATGGTCCACGCGTGCGGTCCAGGTGAGGACGCGCGCTCTGGCCCTCGTCGGCAGGTTGCCTTGGCCTTTGCGCTCCCTCCCCCCAGCGTTTCGCCCTTGCTGGCTCGGCCGCTCCCGCCCTTCACCCCCGACAGGCCAAGGTGGACCTCAAGCTGGAGGTTGGCGAGGACCTCGGCTTCATGTGGAGGACCACTGGCGAGGGGCACGCGCCCCAGGCGACGACGCGCCTCTCTCCCGCAGCGCGCTGGGGGCCCGCCCCTCGGCTTCCCCGCGGCCCCCGCCGCAGCGATGGGGCGGAGCGGGCGCAAGCACTGCCGGAGCGGCAGCACGGCTCGCCGCCGACGGGGGCGTCCTCCTCGTTCTTCCTCCTCCTCCTCCTCCTGCTCCTGCTCGTCCTCTATCCTCTTCCTCCTCCGCTCCCCCCCAACTGGTCCTGCTCCTCGTCCTCCTCCTCCTCCTCCTCCTCCTCCTGCTCGTCGTCGTCGTCCTCCTCCTCCTCCTTCTCCCTCCTCCTCCTCCACCTCCTCCTCCTCCTCCTCCTCCTCCTCCTCCTCCCTGTCCCTCTCCAACCTATTCTGTGCCTGGGGACTGGCCCGTACATGATAGCCTGTGGCCCATCTCGCCACCGTGCCTGGAATATGGGTCTGATACCTCGTGGGTGTTTTTTGGGGGACATCGTCGAGGCCTCTCGGGGGCCTCTTGGAGGGAGTTCTGGGGCCTCTTGAGGGGATGTTTGGGAGCCCTTGGGCCCACTTGGGGGCCTCTCGCCTCTTGCGGCCTCGTGGTGCGTGGCCTTTTGGGACCTCTTGGGACCCCTTGGGGGCTTCCTGGGGCCTCCTGGGCGCCTTTTTCGAGCGGCCAGGGTTTTCGGTTCGTGTTCCCCCTCTTGGGGCCGTTTTGGAGCTCTCTTGGGCCGTCTTGGGCGCCTCTGTGGCCATCTTGGGGCACTCTTGGGCCGTCTTTGGGCCGTCCTTTGGGCCTCTAAACACATTGCAGCATAATCTGAATACCAATGATTGTGACCTCTCGGGGCCCTCTTGTGAAGGCTGTTGAGGCGTCTCCAAGGCTTCTAGGGCCGTTTGGGGGCCATCCTGAGAGTCTTGGACCGATCGTGCGGCGATTAGGGGCACCCTTGGACAGTCTGGGCCCCTCGTTGGCCCTGATAAAGTCATGCGGGAACGCTCGGGCTGCCACGTACCCGTGGGTGACCGAAACGGGGCACGATCGTATCCCCTGAGACCCCTCTCGTGGGTCCATTGACCCCCCCTTGGGGCCCTGTGTGTGTGTGTGTGACAAACCGGGCGACGTCCCCTGGAGGGCTGGCATCGGGGGGCCAGGGCCCAGCGGCCTGAGCGTATGCAACAAAACTGTTCTTGGGCCAGTTTCGTGGAAAATGCACCCACAGCCCTCGAGGATGCATGTTGGATTGCTGGTCCCAATTGGTCCCACGGTGGCCCCAACCAGTAGTTGCATCATAGTGCCTTTGCAGCCCGTGCGGATGCATGTTTGATTTCGGGTCCCGAAGGTCCCAGGCTGCTTACAAAAAGGCGAGGCCTTTTTTGAAAGGCCCTGCAGTGTTTGAGCAACAGTCGGCTTGCCCGGCGCCCTCCGCAGGAAGGCTGGACCCCGCAGGAGGCCAGCGCAGAGGCCGAGGCTTTGGCACACGACCGCAGGGAGGCTCCGCAGGACTCGCGGGCCTCGAACGCGAGCCCTTTTGGGGCGCTGCAGGAGCGCTGGACTCCGCAGGAGGCCAGCGCAGAGGCCGAGACTCTGGTACACGACCGCGGGGAGGCTCCGCGGGACGCGCAGGCCGCGAGCGCGAGCCCCTGCTTGCTGGGCGCTCTGCGGGAGCCTCGGCGGGACGGGGCGAGGGCGGCGGCGCACGACGCAGGCCCGCCCGCGTGGGGGCGCTCGGGGCTTTCCCCCAGCACGGAGGGGAAGCGCCGCAGGCCTACCGAAGGCGGAACTGGACCCGGCGGGGGTCCTCCTGCTCCTCCTCCTCCTCCTCCTCCTCCTCCTCCTCCTCCTCCTCCTCCTCCTCCTCCTTAGAAGTAGGGTGCTGGAGGGTCGCCCGGGAACCCAGAGGAGGAGAAGGTGCCCATGCCGCTGCCCTTCCCCCGTGTTCTCCTCATGTTGGGGGGCCTCCTGGGAGGCCCTCGTCGCCACCGCTGGATTCGCCTCGAAGTGCTGGCCAGAGCGCACCCCACGAGAGGCCCGGGGAGCAGCGGTATCGGTATCTTTTGGTTTCCCCCGAAGCCCCATAACCCCCAACCCCCAGGGCCTTTTCAACAGAACCCTCAGGATGGAGGACTGAGGCTGAACGGGTTAATTAGGCCAATGACTCGAGGACAATTCAACTCGTGCCTTCGGGCGCGGTGGCGAACGCACAGACACATGTGTACATACATATGTAATTATATATACACACCGCTATGCATAGATCAATACCTGCACATATTAACAGTGACCAGAGGCGATGAATTGAGTCCGTGTGCGCCTCTGCTGGTCGTTTTGTTCGGGACGTCTTGGAACACTTGTCATCGGACACGCCCTTCACCCATATTGCGACGGCACGGTCCAAAGACATTCCTTTCTGAATATTTTAGCATACAGCTTGCAAGCACACAATCGACTTCAATGCTCTTGCACACGATCATTTGAAACCACAAAGCAGTTTCGTTGAGACATCCTCGCAACATCGAGCCCCGACGTACAACACATAACAACATTTACACTACACACAAGCCACAGGGCACATAACACACAACATACACACCACGCACACATCACGCACAGAGCACTCGCACATCACACACCCGACACCACACACACACGCACACACCACAACACAAACATAGACACAACGCACACAACACACAGAACACAGAACACACACGAACACCACACAACACATACAGCACGCACACAATATATCACGCACACAAACAGCCACACAACATACGCAACACCACCCACACGCACGCAACACACATACAACACGCAGAACATTCATCACTCACACAATACACCATACACCCACCCAACCCGCACACCATATACAACGCACGCACAGTACCCACACACATTGCTCGACTTGTTGCAAAGGCCTGGGCACGCATGTGCCACTTGTACATACATGCGCACCCAAATACCTATGTGTATTGGTATGTATATGTAGTGCTACTTACTAGCCCTTTCCGAGCCGAGCCCCTCGGAGGCCTCTCACTACCTCTCGTGGCGAACCCCTGTCTGAGCTGGCCGCTCTCACGGGTCTTTCCAGGAGTGCGTCGGTTGTGTGGTAGTTCGAATTCGGCCTCTGCTGTCACCTGCTCCGCGAGCTTGCAGTGGGACCCCCCCCCGCATCTCTTCTGTCGTCTCTGCTTTGCGGCACGGCGGGATGCTATCCCGCAGGCGGTTCCTTGCGGCCCTTGACGCCCGGACTCCTCGGAGACGCGCGCCTGCCGGGCGAAAGGGGAGCCGCGCCTCTGAGGTCCATCGGGCGCTGCCTTTTGGTGGCCCCGCGGCTGGCAGCCGTGCCCCTGGTCTGCGACCGCTGTCGAGGCCCAACCCCTGCCCGTCCAGCCGGCGCTGGGGTGCCGCACACCCCCGCCAGGGGCTCCACCCGGCTGCAGGCATCCCTCAAGGTCCCGAGCCCCGGCCGATGCCTCGGAGACCTGGCCTGCAGGGGTTCGGGCTCGCAGCGTGGTTGCCCAGCTGGGTCCTGCCTGCACCCCGCGACGCCGAGGCCGCGCTCGGCCTCGTGGCCAGCAGCTCGCGGCGGGCACACCCCTCAGGAGCAACGATCGGGGGGATGGGCATAGGGGGGTACGCATCGACCCACAATCGCATCGCCCACTGATCGCCGATCGGGGCCCGATAGCCCCAACCTGCCCAGGAAGGTGCGGATCCACGATCAGGGGCCTACCGTGGGGACCCATGCCAAGAAACACCCTGCTTGCCTCCAGGGTGCCCTGGGTTTCTTGGGTCTCGACGGTTTTGCGATGGAGAGCGCGACGTGCCCGCACCAAGAGGCAAGGGACGTCCTGGGGTCTCAGGGGTTGGGTTTCTTGTGGAAGGCCTCTTGCGTATCGGCCCCCGCTGTATGCCAGCCCCCCCCTATCGTTGCCCCTCGCCCTGGACCAGGGCGGCCTGCCCGCTGCGCGGGCCCTCGGCCTCGCCTCCTACCCATCCTCCTCCTGCTCCTGCTGCTGCCGTCTTCGTCCTGCTCCTGCCGCTGCCTCTCCTCCTCCTCCTCCTCCTCCTCCTCCTCTTCCTCCTCCTCCTCTTCCTCCTCCTTCTCCTCATCCCCCTCCTCCTCCACAATTACGCAATATGAATACTACTCTCCCTCTTCCCCGAAGGCGGCCTGAAAGTAGCCGACCCCCCCCGCGTATTGTTTTTTTACACACAGGATTCCCGGGAGTTGGGTTTTCGCCTGTATTTTTTTGATGAAAATGCTGCTCTCGCTGAGACGCCGGCCTCATTTTCGGGCCCCGCTCGTTCCGAATCGTGCTCCAGCTGCAGCGCTGGCCTCATTTCCGTGCTTCCGCTCGTTCCGAATCGTGCTCCCGCTGCAGCGCTGGCCTCATTTCCGCGCTTCCGCTCGTTTCGACTCGTGCTCCCGCTGCAGCGCTGGCGTCATTTCCCGTGCCATGCCACAGCACACGCGCACACACGCACACACACACACACACACCCACCCACCCACCCACCCACCCACCCACCCACCCACCACCACCACCACCACCACCACCACACACCACACCACACCACACCACGCACACACGCACGCACGCACGCACGCGCACCACCACCCACTACGCACGCGCGCGCGGAGCCACAGGTCCGCTACGACACGCGTCCGCGGATAGAGAAAATCAGCGCCATGGTAAGGGATGGGAGGGAGGGGTAGGACGTCAGATATGACGCGAGCGCACCTAGCTTGCCCTCCCCTCCTCCCCCTCCTCCTCCTCCTCCTCTCCTCCTCCTCCTCCTCCTCCTGATCCTCTTCCTCGTCCTCATCGTCGTCCTCCTCCTCCCCCTCCTCCTCCTCCTCCTCCTCCCCCTCCTCCTCCTCCTCCTCCTCCTCCACGGATCGGTGGCGTGGGCCCTTCTCCAGCGGTGCGGCGAAGCGCTGCCCGGGTGGGCGCGGCGCTGCCCCCCCCTGCCGCGGGCGGCCGCGGTGCCCCACGGGGGGGCGGCGAGGCCGCCCAGCGCGCCCCCCCGGAGGCCAACGCCGCGGCCGGAGGCCATGGCTCGGCGAAGAAGGAACGCCAGAAGCACAGAGATCATAAGGGGGCCACCTGCGAGCCCTACCCCTACCCCGCACGGTTTCTGAGGGGGAGGGTGGGGCAGGGTTCGCGCGTGGCCCCCTGAATGTAGATAGACACGAGGATGCAACCAAAGAGGGAACACGCCATAGCCATGAAACACAAACGACGCAGTAACAAAATGCCATAGATATGAGCTGTTGGCGCTCCGCACGGATTTCTTGGATCCGCGCTGGGCGCCCCCTGGCGGCGCCTCCGGCGCCGCCCCTGGCGCGCTCCGCTCGCCAGGGAGGGGGTCGTCCAGCGCAGATCTAAGGAATCCGCGCGGAGCGCCAACAGTCTATGTTTGTGGCGTTTTTTCTGCTTCTAATGGCCCTGGTTGCCAGACTGGTTGGTCGGAGGAGGAGAGGCTGGCGTCACCAGGCCTCACAGATGGGGTCAGAGCAGATGGGATCGGAGGATCGCGCCGCATCGCCGATACGTCGGCGATGCGGCTCGACGTGGAGCCCAGTTTTCCATAAGGCGAAGTCGCCGATGCATCGCCGATAGATCGGCGATGCATTGGCGATGCGGCGCGATCTTTCGACCCCATCTATTCCGACCCCATCTAAGAGGCCTCTAATGGCCCTGGCTGCCAGACATGGTTGGTCGGGGGAGGAGAGGCTTGCGACACCGCTGTTCGTCCTGGAGAGCCCACGTCGCCACTGCTGGACTGCTCCCCCGAAGGTGCTGTCAGAGCGCACCACCGGAGCGGCCCAGGGTGCAGCGGTTCGGGAGCCTTGAGACGGGGGTCAATGCACACGGGGGTCAGCCAGGGCACTGGATCCTGCAGGATCCTGCGAAGACCCCTTCTGGCTGGCCCAGGTCAGCGAGCCGCTCGTGGCCGCGAAGCGGCCGCGCATATTGGCTGACCCGGGATTGCGAAGCCCTGCGTTGCAGTCTTTTGTTCCTGCGTTGCAGTTTTTTTCGGTTTCCTGCTGACCCGGGTCGGATTGACCCGGGTCTGCAGATCCCCGAGCGGCGTCGGTCTATTCTTGTTTCTCCCAGCTGGAGGCCATGGCCTGGGCTGCCAGTGACTGTCTAGTTGGACGCACGCGCGTCCCGCTCTGCCCTCCCCCCCCCTCGCGTCTCCTGCTGCGGGGCGCCCCGTCTGCGCCGTCAAAGGTGTTGGAGAAGCGTGTCTGATCACAACCGGAAGCTGGAGACGACACTGACCTTCCAGGAGGGCTAGAAAGTAGCACCGCAAGTAAAACCTATCCCAAAGCCATTCTGCGTCTGGGTTTTATAGGATGTTTCGTTTGGTTGTTTAGGTTTTTAGGCCTTCAGTGCTGAAACATAGCTCTCCGGAAGGTCAGGGGACTGGCCAAACCGGATGAACGGATCACATTCCCTTTCTCTCCATGCATATATAAGTGTATACATGATATACACGTACACACACGTCGTAAGGTCCACGTTTCTACATGTTGTATTGTTGTCGTGTTGTCTCCTCTCTCTCTCTCGCGCGCGCTATCTCTCGTTCTCTTTTGTTGTTTCTCTCTCTCTCTCTGTCTCTCTCTTTCTATCCCTCTCCGTTTTGTTTCTTCTCTCTCTTTCTCTCTCTCTCTCTCTCTCAATGGCCCTCTCCCCCTCTCGCTCCCCTAAGATCCCACGGTGCCGAAAAAGTGCGTCACCACGAGGTATCACGATCCCTTGACCCTATCGTACTGCGCCTTTTTTCGAGTCGGATCGATCTGTGACGGCCCCTGGGCCCGAAACGTGGCGAAAACGCCCAGCCTGACAAACTTGCAACGCCAGGATCTCGGCGCCTCCTTCCGCGCTTCCTTGTGTTCCTCCCGCCTCTGCATCGCCGCGCCCCGCGCTGCTTTTCAGCCGTAGTCCTGTTTGACGGCGCCAGGGGGAGGGTTTTCCCAGCGTTCTCCCACCCATCAGGGGAGGAAAACGCACCTGGACTGGACTGCTAAGAGCCCTGCCCAGTTCGATGCTTTCCCTGGGTGCGTTTGCCACACGGCCTCGCTTGTCGGGGTGGTTCATTTGGGGGTGGATTTGGTTGCCTTCTAGCCCAGCCTTTCTTTCCTCGCTCCCCTCGCACCCTGCCCCGTTGTGCCCCCCTCCCACTCGGGGGGTGTTCGAAGGGGCGCAGACACCAGGAAGCACCTCGGCGACGCTGGGATACGGTCGGGGCCTTGACCGAAGGAACCCAACATAAGGAACGAGGCTCCTTTTTTTCCACAAGTTAAACTTCGATTTCAGATCGAATATATCAGGACAACCTGGGGCAAGCTGCGAAACACTTCAGGAACGCGGAGCCCCTTCCCAACGACAAGGGTTCCTTCTTCAGGGCCCCGACTGTATCCAGCGATGTTCCGAGTAGCCGTCTTTTGCCGCGGCTCCTCCCGCCAGAGAGGTGGGCGCAGCGGGCGTCATAGCAGCCCCGCGCGCTCAGGGGGACGCCCCGCCCGCATCGCAGCGCTCTCTCCCCCCGAGGAGGAGGAGGAGGAGGAGGAGGAGGAGGACGAGGAGGAGGAGGAGGAGGAGGAGGAGGAGGAGGAGAGGAGGAGGAGGAGGAGGAGGAGGAGGAGGAGGAGGAGGAGGAGGAGGAGGGGGGAGGAGGAAGGAGGAGGAGGAAGGAGGAGGAGGAGGAGGAGGAGGAATGAGGAGGAGGAGGAGGGGGAGGAGGAAGGAGGAGGAGGAGGAGAAAGGAGGAGGAAGGAGGGAGGAACTCGGGGGTGGCCGCGCGATCGACCATGAGTCCCCTTGTGGCCCATCGCTTCTGGGCCGCCCTCGCCTCCCGCGCGCGCCCGTGGTGCTCCCGCGAGGTGATCTCGGCGGCGCCGGGCAGCACGGTGGGCGCCGCGGTGCAGGCCCGCCCGCCGGACGCATCAGGAGGGGCTGGAGATTGAGATTCTGCACGAACGGGATGGGCACGGAAAGAATGGGTACGATGCCCAACAGCAGTTCCTGCTCATTCTGAACAGGACTCGCTGTCCGCGCCGCCGCGGCCTGTGCCCATTCGAGTCAGAAGGCCGCCTGCCCAACAGCGGCCGCTGTTGGTTTGGGACAACATTTGTTGTTGAACATTGTACCCATTCTTTCCGTACCCATTTCGGGCGTCCAAATCAGTAGGGGCTGGAGAGATTGAGATCCAGCGGGGCACGTCCAAGTTGCCCGAGCGCACACGGATCGAATGAAACATGAGGGCGAGGCTACCTTCGGAGGTTGATAGACCTCCTGCCCTGACGCGTCGATCAAGGAATTGGCCGTTTTCGGTTTGCGAGAAGGCGTCGCGGCCGTCATTTTTGCGGGTCCAGGTCCGTCGGTTTCGGTCCGAGGCCGTTTTCACTAAAGGGTGGTTTACTAAAGGCAGGTTTGTCCACCGCCGACAAGTTGCCCGAACGCACACGTCTCGAATGAAACATGAGGGCGAAGCTGCCTGGGGGTCAGGCCTCGTCGGAGCCGCCCAAGACGGCAGTTTTGGTTTTGTCAGGCGATCGCGAACATGGATCACGGGGGCGTGGATTAGCGGCGGGTCTCGTTTCCATGGGGAGTCGCGGATTTTCGCAGCCGAGCGAGGCGGCACCGGCCGCATGTTGGGGAGGGCACCTCCCCCGATCCATGGATTTGGCGACCGCGCGCCAAATCCATGGATCGCTAATGCGCGCCCCCGAGACGCTTCAGGGTGTTGAGATTGAGATCCAGCGGAGCACGTCCAAGTTGCCCGAACGCGCACGCATCGAATGAAACATGACGGCGAGGCTACAGTGAGCGGCTTGAATAAGGAACACTTACTTCTCAAAATGGGGCTCGGTCGTTTCTTTAGGTTTGCCTGTGTTGCTTATCGTTCCTTATGCGTCATCTATTGCATTTCGTTCCTTATGCGTGACTCCCTGGGAAAAAAAAGGGGCTGCGTTCCTTGTGTGCCGATCCTCAGGTCAGGCCGATGACTGCACCCGGGGGCCAGGCCTCGTCGCAGCCGCCCGAGACGGCAGCTTTGGCTCCGGGCATGCAGCGCCTGGGCGTTCTCGGCGGGGCCTCCACCACGAGGCCGCTGGAGCCCAATGTGGCCCGCCCACTCCGCCCGACCGCGCGCGCGCGCGCACAGCGCTCGCACCGCGCAGCGCCGCCGAGGTCGTTCTCTGAGCCAACACGTGGCCGAGCCCCGTGAGGCAGGCCCACGGGCCCTGGGCCGCAGGGGCGGGGGGGTCGGCTCGGGAGGCGGCGGCGGTGCCGAGAGCGCGTTTCCTGACTGCTTGGGGCATGCTGGGCATTACCCCCCCTCCTATAACGCAACTGCGGGGCGTGAATAAACGACCACGGCCACTGCTTCTCTTTTCTTGCCGCCTTCCAGCCAGCAGAAACAAAGCAGCGGTTGTGGGCATTTTCGCTGAGCTTGGCACCAGGGGAATGACCACAACCACTGCTCCTTTCTCGGCCGGCTGGAAGGCGGCGCAAACCAGAAGCAGTGGCTATGATGGTCACCTTCCCGTCCCGCAGCAACGCCCCCCCCCCCCAGTGCGACAGTGCGACCTGGGCACTGCCGCAGTGCGCACGGCGGGGGGGAGGCGTTGCATCCCCCCTTGGCCCCTCCCCCCCTAGAGTGTCCACCATCGCTGAAAATGCAAGAAACGGGCTCCAAGTCGGCAGCAGGACCACGCTCCCCGGAGCTCCGCGCGCCAGCCCCCACGGCACCCCCCGGGGGACCAGGCCGGGCACCGGGCCGGGCAAAGCCCCCCCCGAGGAAGCGGGTCGCACGAGCCCGCAGACCCAGAAGCCCCAGCCTCCCGAGGGCACAGGTCTTGGGCAGGGGGGGTGGGGTGGGGATCGAGCCACCTGGAGGCGGCTTCCATGGCCGCCTCCGCCCCTTCCGAGACCTGTGGGACGAAGTCAGGACACTGCTTGAGCAGGCGCTGGGCAGCCCATCGTCGGATGTCCGTGGGACTGCGCACCCTGAATTTCTTCCGAACCTGGAGCAAGTGCAGGCCAGAGCGAGTCTTGGTCGCCGGCTTACAACTCGCGCACCTCCACTCGCGCCTGGAAGAGCTAAAGTACACTTGGTGATCCGAGCCGTCATCGATATAAGCCCGTTGCACATCAGGCGTGCGCCTTGCCTTCGCACGGGCAGACCTCGATTCTGGCGGCGACGGAGGGAACGCGCCCAGATCGATGGCACGGCGCCCAGTCCAGGCTACGTATTTGATGAAATCCTGGGCTTCAGACAGTGCCACTCTGCGCAGATCGGCGACGCCCTGACCCACGCAGTCCCCCGAGGCCCACCGCTGGGCGAAGACATCGGCCCAAGCGCGCCCGAGGGCAGACAAGAAGGGCGGGCCGTCGAGCTGGGGGAACGACGAGTGACATGAGCATAAAAACTCGGAGGTCCGCGCGGACTTCTCGGATCCGCGCTGGACCCCACGGGAGGCGCCTCCGGCGCTGCCCCTGGCTCGCTCCGCGCGCCAGGGAGGGGGGCCCAGTACCGATCCGAGAAGTCCGCGCGGACCTCCGAGTTTTTATGTTTGTGTCATTCTTCCTTCCCCTCTTCGCCGGAGGCGCCGCCGGTGGGGTCCAGCGCGGATCCAAGAAGTCCGCGCGGAACTCCGAGTTGTTATGTTTATGTCATTCTTCGTTCCCCTGCGAGCGGCCCCCGAACGATCGCGTCCTCCAGAGACGCGGTTTCTCCTCCCCCCTGAGCTGGTCCCCCCCTTCGTTCCCCCTGAACTGGAAGGGTCACCTCCTATCCTCCTGGAGATCGGTGGTCGAGGAGGAAGAGAGGAGAAGGGGAGGGTCGAGGATCTGGGACGTTGTAGACAATTTTGGGCGTCTCTGGGGGTCGCAGGTGGCACCAGGAGTGTTTCCGCCAAGGGTGCAAGTGGCCCTCCAAGAGCCTTTGGCACAGCTGCGTACAGGGTCATGGTGTTCCAACCTTCTCTAGTTTTGACGACCAAAAGGATTTCGAGCACCTGAAAAGTACGTACCGCAACTCGAGGGTTTTCACGCGTCCGGCCCTGGGAGACACTCGCCCCACACAACATCGGGGGGGGGCGCTGCACTCGGGCCTCGGCGACCGCGCGAATGCGTCTCCACACGCTGGCGTGCTCGCCGCCGGGGCCAGCCTCTGGCGCCTCCCAGCGGCGGCCTGCATCGACGAGCGCCTGCAGATCGGGTACGATGCACTCTGCACTCTGCACCTCCTCCTCCCCCTCCTCCTCCCCCTCCTCCCTCTCCTCCCTCCTCCTCCTCCCTCCTCCTCCTCCTCCTCTCCCTCCTCCTCCTCATCCTCATCCTCCTCCTCCTCCTCTCCTCCTCCTCTCCTCTTCCTCCTCCCCCTCCTCCTCCCTGAGGAGGGAGGAGGGAGGCTCGGGCCGGACGAAAGGGGGGGACAGGGAAAGGGGGGGGTACGAAATCTGCTGCATGCAGCCGGTTTCGGCCCCGCCGCCGGGCCCATTCCTCGATACATGGGCGCCTCCTGGCGCCGGGAGACGCGGGGAAAGTCAGCTGCGCGAGCTGATTCTCACCCCCCCCCCTTTGCTATCCCCCCCTTTCGCCCGGCCCGAGAGGCCAGACGTGCTCGCGTCGAGAAACAAAAGCGAGTCAGGACTGGTGGTCTGTGTTCTTCTGCCTTCGGCCTCCCGGGGGGGGGGGGGGGGGCTCCGCCGGGCCCAGGGGCCGTCCGAGAAGAAGGCTCGGGAGGACAAGCTGGCCCTGGGGAAAGGGTCGGGGCGTTCAGGCATCTTGCACTAGAGCAGTCCAGGGATCGCGTGCCGTGGCAGGAGGGACGGAGGGACGGAGGGAGGGGAGGGGAGGGGAGGGAGGGAGGGAGGGAGGGAGGGAAGAGGAGGAGGAGGGAGGAGGGAGGGAGAGAGGGAGGGAGGGAGGGCGGGAGGAGGAGGAGGAGGAGGAGGAGGAGGAGGAGGAGGAGGAGGAGGGTCCGTAGCCATTTTGGCTCAGGCCTGCCTGGGCGCGTGGCAGGAGGAGCGCGCCGTGCCTCTCCCTGTAGAGCCCTGTCATCTCGGCAGGCACAGAGAGCGGCTCAGTCTCTTTCCCCCTGCGCGCGCGGATCATGGCTACGGGAGGCGGCCGCACCAGCAGCTGGCTGCCCGGACCACTCCGTACCGACGAGGCGGCTGCCGCAGGGCCGTCTGCGGCTCGGCGCGCGGCCCGAGCGCGTGCCCGTCTGGCCTGCGAGGCGGCCCTCCGCAGGGCCCTCGGCAGCAAAGACCACGCGCCGGGGTCCTGGCGGGACCGCGAGGACGCCTCGCGACCAGCGCTCCAGGCCCTTGCATCTCGCAGAAGGGTGCCAGGCGCCGCGCGTCGGAGGCGCAACGCGGCATGGCACGCCGCAGACGCCCCGGAGGGAGGCTTCACGCACGCCACCCGGGCTGCGCTTGCCAAGGCGGCGGCGGGCCCTCGCCTCGGACGGCCGAGCCTCCCTGGGGCCAACTACAAGTACATCGTCGTGGAGGTACCACATGGCTGCTGGACCGCCTCGCCGCTGACACCTCTGAGTGGAGCCGCCGCCGAGGCCGCCCATCACGGCGCGCGGAGCGTGCTTGGCGTCGCCTACCCGACGGACGCCAACCTCTCCCAGGTGGCGGAGCGGGCGCTCCGCGCGGCCGTCGCGCGCCGGAGCCGGGAATACGAGGACGACGGCTACGACGGCTACATCCACGGCGACCCCGACGGCTACGACGGCTACGACCACGACAGCTACGACCACGGGGACCCAGACCAGTCCGAGGATGCGGAGGAGTCGCCCTTCGTGGAGGCGTTCGGGATGACGGAGGACGGCTGCCACGACAACGGCGGCTACAATTGCACCGACGAGCGCGGCTACATCGGCAACAGCGACCTCCGTTCCTACGACGGCTGGCGGCCGAGCCTCCGCCCCCCGCCCAGCAAGGAGAAGGTGGAGGACGAAATGCGGAGAGCACAATCGGCCACTGAGAAGATAGAGTACGATTCCGACGCGGACCCAGAGGACCGCGAGAGCTACGACGGCTACGACTACGGCGGCTACGACAGCGAGACCCACCAGGCGCTGCACCGCACGAACAGGGAGCTTGATGGGGAGAGCGCGGTCGACAGCTTCGTCATACCAAGTACCCGCAGTGGATCGGCCTCACGGCGGGATTGGCCCCCCCAAAAGGGCCCCCGAGCTACGACGGCTACGACTACGGCGAACACGACGGCTACGACAGCAAGACCCACCTTGCGCTGCACGGCACGAGCAGGGAGCTTTGTGGGGAGAACGCGCTCGACAGCGTCGCCATACCAAGTACCAGCAGCGGATCAGCTTCACGGTGGGATGGGGCCCCCCAAAACGGCCCCCCGCCGTTCGAGACCAACGAGACGAGCGAGCAGAAGGCGCTGCACGGCACGAGCAGGGAGCTGGACGGGGAGAAGGTAACCGACAGCTTCGTCATACCAAGTACCTGCAGTGGATCGGCCTCATGGCGGGACTGCCCCCCCCCCCAAACGGGCCCCCACAAAACGAGATGAACAACGAGAGCGACCCCGTCGAGCCGTCCCCCAAAGTGAAGGCCGCGATGGACTGGGCTAGGCGCCAGCGGGCGCACCAGCACCACATCGCGTGCGAAGGAGTTGACATCAATCGCATCTTCGACCAGGCGAAGCACCACATCCAGTTCGTAGAGCGGGAAACGGGAGTGAGAGTTTTCCCCAGCGCGGCTGCGGCCGTACCCACGATATCCATTTACGCATCAGACAGGGTCGGCGCCGCCCGCTTCCAAGAGGCAGTGCACAGGATGAGAGACCGCTTGAGCTACCTCCTTGATGAGGACAGCGCGCACGAGGCCTCCGAGCCGAGCGACCAGGACCTCCTGTCCGACTCCTCTGGCGACGAGGGCGCGCCCGAGGAGAGCAAGCGGAGCAGCGGCGACGACTCCCCCAAGCCCCACAAGAAGGTGCGCTTCTGCTTTCACGAGGATGTGGATGGCCACTTCGAGGCGGAGAGGCGCCCGGGATCGTGAAGAACTCGTTCGGCGCCCCCTGGAGGTGATCATCTGAACGGGCACGTCTCTCGAGAGCTGAGACATAGGCCCGATATCGAAAGGATCGAAAAGAGGAGGAGGAGGAGGAGGAGGAGGAGGAGGAGGAGGAGGAGGAGGAGGAGGAGGAGGAGGAGGAAAAGAGGAGGAGGAGGGAGGGAGGGAGGAGGGAGGGAGGGAGGGAGGGAGGGAGGGAGGGAGGAGAGGGAGGAGGAGGAAGGAGGAGGAGGAGGGAGGAGAGGAGGAGGAGGAGGAGGAGGAGGAGGAGGAGGAGGAGGAGAGGAGGAGGAGGAGGGGAGGAGGAGGAGGAGGGAGGGAGGGAGGGAGGGCGGAAGGGAGGGAGGGAGGGAGGGAGGGAGGGAGGGAGGAGGGAGAGGAGAGGAGGAAGAGAAGAGGAGGGAAGGGAGGGAGGGAGGTGAGGGAGGGAGGGGGGGAGGGAGGGAGGGAGGGAGGGAAGGGAAGGAGGGAGGGATGGTGAGGGAGGAGGAGGAGGAGAGGAGGTGGAGGTGGAGAAGGAGGAGGGAGGGAGGATAGGGAGGGAGGGAGGGAGGAGGAGGAGGAGGAGGAGGGAGGAGGGGGGGGGAGGAGGGGGAGGGAGGAGGGGGGGAGGGGGGGAGGAGGGGGGGAGGGACGGAGGTTGAGGGGGGGAGGAGGAGGAGAGCGGAGGGAGGGAGGGAGGGAGGGAGGGAGGGAGGGAAGGAGGGAGGAGAAGGAGGAGGAGGGAGGAGGGAGGGGAGGGAGGGAGGGAGGGACGACGAGGAGGAGGGCGTGGCCAGCCAGGTGCCAGTGCAGGCCCCGCGGCCTCCCTCGCGGGGCGGCAGGACCGTGAAGTCGGCGCGGCGCCTGAGGGGGTGCGCCCTCACGCGTGAGGTCGGGCACGTATCTCTACGGGAGGAACGCTCCGAAGCAGTTAAAACAAAGTCCGTGGACGTTTTTGTTTCTTCTTCTTTGATGAGAAAACACATCCCATATACACTCATATAGATATGACCCTGAAAATGTTGTTCTGACCATCTATTATTTTTCGGTGGGAATCCCGCCTGTGAGAGGACATGCCCGACCTAACCTGGGGGGGTGCGCCCTGACATGCCACTTCGTCACGTGCTAGTGCTTCCTCGCCCCCCCCCCAGAAGGGCTCCCGACGCGATCTGTTCGCAGCGAGGGCCCCTGTATAGTGTCGCACCGACTCCTTGGGACCTGGCTGTCTTCATCCTCAGCAGTCTTTTGCTCACGGCCTCCTGGGCATCATCGCTCGGGCGTGTGCATTTTTCCTCTCGGCGAGGACCATCGAGGAGCCGTGGTATATTATCCTGCGAGAAGGTACTGGGGAAACGAAGAATTACATAAACATAAAAACTCGGAGGTCCGCGCGGACTTCTCGGATCGGCGCTGGATCGCCCTGGCGGCGCCTCTGGCGCCGCCCCTGGCGCGCTCCGTGCGCCAGGGAGGGGGGTCCGGTGCCGATCCGAGACATTCGCGCGGGCCTCCGAGTTGTTATGCTCATGTCATTCTTCGTTCCCCTACATACACGCACGAAGCTGAAGAATACACACGGCGTGGGCGTCCGAGCGATGGCAAGCCACGGCCTGAGGGCTGCCGCTGGGGGGCCGCCAGCGGGCAGGCATTGCCCGCCGATATGTCTTGTCCTCTTGTCGTGATGGGGCTCCAGGCTCCCCGCCACCCCTCCACCCCACGGCAGGAGCGACTTCTTGGAGGCTACATGCTGGTCGTTGGAAGTAGGTATTCCGGACCTCCCAGATCCCACTCTGCTTTCGCCGCCTTCCTACTTCAAGAGTGTTCCCCTCTTCCCTCCTCAGGAGACGGGCACGGAATCCCAATCCTTTCTCGACGCCTTCCTATTTCATGACTCTACCCACTTCTTCCAACCGACGGGTAAATTCAGCGTCGGCGCTGGCATATCCGTGGTCGAAGACCGGCCCAGTCTGTCAGAATCCGGTTCAAATCCGGCTCAATGGCCGTCTATTTTGGCCCACATCGGCTCAGCGGTTCCTGCGTCGGGCTTCATAGCCCGCAGTCGTTTTCACGACGACCCCCCAGGAGCTGCTCCCTCACGCAAGCCAGGCCGCCCTGGCGAGCCCTGCTCCGGTTGCCCCCCCCCCCCCGGGCGGGGCGCCTCGGGCGACGTGAGCGTGCCTGCCGCGCTCGCCCGCGCGCCCGCGGCGCGCTTCCGCGGAGAGGTGGGCTGGTGCCTGCTCCGCATGAACGGCCTGGACGCGAAGATGTTCAACGAGAAGCAGATCGGGGACCGCCTCCGGCCGCTGCGGCCGCACGCGCGTATGCTGCCCTGACGGGCAGCGCGTGCAGGCGGATCGGTCTGCGTGTGCTCTGGCGCGTGTGCGTGCGGTGCCCTGCCCGGCTCAAGGTCTCGCAGGTTGAGTCGCCCCAGCTTCTCACGTTTTCCCGTTTCCAACCCTCGAAGATCGAGGATTTTGAAAAAAAAAAAAAGGAATTCCCAGAATCCCCCTTTTTGTTTCAAAGTGGGACTCGGATCATCAGGTGAGCGACGCAAACAAGAACGGGGTCGTCATTGCCAACGTTGGCGCGCAAGCTGCCCGCGTAAGGTCGCGCGTGAGCGCCCTTGTCTCCAATGTGGCGTGCCGCGCCGGCGGCCCGCGTAAGCTGCGGCGTAAGGTCGCTGTGTCATCTCGCGTAAGACCCGTTGTCGATCTCCGCTCAAGTGTTGTTTTCGTTTTAAGTTCATGTGTACGAGTATGTGCATAATCATATGCGTACATGTACGTACACGCAGCACCTTCATATACGGACGCCCCGCAGTGGATCGTCCTCGGACACCCATGGAGACGTCTGTGTGCACATCATGGGTCGACCCAAACGTTGTTTTGGCGATCTCGTGGGCCGTTTTCGTTTCGACCTCGCTTTGCAGCAAAGGCGGCTGGAAGAAAAAACGAGGAAAACGAAAGCAACGCGAAAGCAAGAAACACCGTTTCGGGCGATCCCTGGTGTACAGTCGAGGCGGATTCGTAGGTCGACCCTGCCAAATCAAGGGTGCTCTTGCGTCCTGTGTTTGGCGACCCATGCCTTCTACATTCCTATGGTGATGTGGCCCTCGGAAGGGTCCTACGTCCTCTCGCGTGTCCTCGTCAATCAACCTCGACTGTACAGCACCACTGAGAGCCAACGAATGTACTTCCCGAGGGCGCCGTGCTGCTCACCCGCGACTGCCGAGGATGCAGCTGGGTTTCTTCCTGTGGCGTGCGGTTTTGCCCCCCGCTCGAGGGCGAGCGAGCGGCGTACGCACAGACCTTTTTGTTGTTAGGATGTTCGCGCGATGGTTTCACTTGGATCGGCGCGACCTACGGGATCCGCCGGGGGCCTCCGGCAGTTCTCCCACCTATCCTTCTGTACGCGCACTCTTATGTGTGTAGATATGTATGTATATATATATATATAGTAAGATAATATAAGACACTACAATATTGTATAGCATAATGCAAGGTAATATATATATATATATGTAGATTTATAAGTATGTATATATAGATATGTACACGTATGAACACATGCCAGCCAGATTGCATGTGCACTTCGCGCCATACGCCTTGGTGCTCAATGTGTGGCATGCAGGCGGAAGGGCACGAAGGCAAAACTAAACATTTATCGAGCAGTACCTCTTTGTTGCCTTGTCTGGCATCGTCCCTATCATCATGATGTTGGTCATCATGCTTTTCTGCGGCGAGCCCTCACAACACTCGAACACAAGACGGCACATTTATATGTACAAGCTTGTGCGAAACATTTCCTGCCATCCCGGCTGGCCGGCCGAAGATTTGACTTTGTGTTGACGCCTTCTCTGGAATATTTCTCTGGAATAGCTGGACGGTGCGACTGTTGACGATGTAGTGTGGTAGCCGGTTGAAGGGTTGAATCGTGCCAACGATAGACCGTCGGTGAATGGTTGGGTGGCCCGGCTCGACTGGGTTAAAGCTTTTCCGTGGAAGCTCTGCACATTACCGAGCGCGTTCCACTACTCGCCAAGTGCCTACTCGCAAACGCCCGAAAAACACATGTTTGCTTCGATGTAATTTATCGTAGATCCCCCGCGGCGGATCCAGGCCATTTGCGAGTAGCTACTTTGCGAGTAGTGGAACGCGCTCGCCTAGCACAGGAACGAACCAAACGATTCAAGATGGCCCGCAGCTGGACGGAACAGTCCTGCAAGAGCAGCAGGCGCCAAGCCTGAGGCAACCTTGCACAGCAGTCCCAGAATCGCGATGTCCCGACGCATACCAAGCGGGGCAAGATTGCGCTCTCGCAATGAAGACTCTGCCGATAAGCCGACCTCGTCTAAAGAACAACACTGCAAGTCGTTGAACTGCTTCAAAACATGTTCCTCTTGGCGTGGTAGACCGCTGGGGTGGTGCCCTCCACGTCAGACAGGACGCGACATTTGTACAGTCAGACCATTTCTCACACCATAGTGGCGATTTGTACAGGGAAGAGCCCAGAGACGCCAGCCTGCATCCGTAGCAGACTGTTGCACGGCCAAATGCATTTCCAGGCGTGGGTCGAAAAGAATGCTGACAGTATTGCGGGTGATCCACCATGTGGGCTACTCGTGTGTCTAAGATGCGCATGCTCTCCCTGGACGGTTTGAACAGTACCTGCTTAGCAGACCTCCGCGCGTGTAAAGCACAGCGACAGGCGCAGAGAGAGTCGAGCACCGAGCTGTCCTGGGGCGCTTCGCTGAGCACACGCCAGCAGTTCAAAGCATCTGCAAATTTCGCTTCAACGAAATCCAAGGGTGAAACTGCTTCCCGCGCATCAGGGTAGCACACGTTCCAAAATGGTGGGCCAAGCACAAGACTGCATTGGCGCTTCGGGCCATGCACCCGGGACCTTCATGTTTGGCATGCAGGCGGAAGGGCATGAAGGCTATCCCCTTGTTGTCTTTCTCGTCGCCGTCGTTAAGCCATATCATTCCTCACCCTTCACTCCTGCTCGATCTTCAGCCTCTTCGTCCTCGCCACTCCCTGCGAGTGCGTGCCCATCCTCAGATCTGTCTGCGGAGGCTCCTCCCTGGAGAGCCCCGTAGGGGGCCTCACGAATCAGCTCTGACAGCCTCTGGGGGGCCCCTCCTCCCCCTCCTCCTCCTCCTCCTCCCCCTCCTCCTCCTCCTCCTCCTCCTCCTCTCCTCCTCCTCCTCTCCTCTCCTCCTCCCCCCTCCCCTCCTCTCTCCTCCTCCTCCTCCCCCTCCTCCTCCTCCTCCTCCTCCTCCTCCTCCTCCTCCTCGGGGGAGGCCCTCTGTGGACTCCCTCCTCGGGGCGCCCGGGGGCCTCGTCGGGCCGCCCCGCGTCCACCCGCGGCCTCCCTGCAGGACGGGGCCACGATGATATCGCCTCGGGGGGCGTCGCGGAGCCTTCCCCTGGGCCGTCACGGGGGGCCCCTCCGCGGGCCCTTCCCTGAGCTTCTGGGAGGGCTAAAAAAATAGCACCCGACTTACAAACCTATCCCAAAGCTATTCTACGTCTTTGGTTTCAGGCTGTTTCGCTCAGCTTTTTAGGTCTTCAGGTCTCCAGTCCTGAAACATAGCTCTCTGAAGGTCAGGGTTCTTTCAAGGAAGGAAAAAGATGGGGCCAAAAACGCAAGGGGGCGATAGGGGAAGGGGGGGGGTGCTGTACGAAATCTGCTGCATGCAGCTGGTTTCGGCCCCCCGCCGCCAGGCCCATTCTTCCATGCAGGGGCGCCTCCCGGCGCCAGGAGGCGCTGGGAAAATCAGCTGCGTGAGCTGATTCTCAAACCCTCCTTTGTTTATCCCCCCCTTTCGCCCGGCCTGAAAAAAAACACCCGGACCGGACAATCGACGTTTACTAAATTGGGCGTTTACGAAACAGGCATGCCTTGTTCGATTCCTTTCTTTGGGCCGCGTTTGCTAAACGACTTGCCGTGTCGGGGTGGTTATTGTGGGGCTGGATTTTGTCCCCGAAAGGACTCCGTCCCAGGGTTCTCTTTTAGTAGGTAAATTTGTCCTGGGTGCCATGCGGGAGGTGGGCCGGCGGAATTATTTCCTAATAATTTTGAGGTCGAGGTGGGCCGGCGGAATTAATTAGGAGGACGTCTCGATCGAAACGCTTTTTTTCGGAATTTGTTGAGGATGTCTCAGGCGAAACGCTGGTTTTGAAGGTTGGGGATGTCTCGAGCGAAACGCTTGTTTTCAGAATTTGTTGAGGATGTCTCGAGCGAAACGCTGGTTTTGCAGAGCCGACCGCGACGCGGAAAAGCGCCCCGCGCGCAGGAATTCCGAGGATGTCTCGCGCGTGCCGCGTCCCGCGCGCATGAATTTCGAGGATGTCTCGACTAATTTGCTTGTTTTTTTAGGATGTAGCGTGACAGAGTTGAGTTTTTGCGTGCACGCTCGAGGATGGTGCGCTCCCCGCGCCAAAACGTCGAGGATGTCTCGAGCGAAACGCTTGCTTGGCAAAACTTGAGGGACCTGGGTGCCCCAGCATGCCCCAGGAGGCCCTGGGAGCGCGGACGCGGTGTAATCTACAAGGGATCCTGGCGTTGGGAGCGCTGACCACGTGCAATTTGCAAGGGATCATGGCCCTCGGAGCGCGGGCGCAGCGTAATTTACGGGAGGTCGGGGCCTCGGGAGCTCGGACGCAATGTAATTTACGGAGGATCGTAGCCCTTGGAGCGCGGGCGCAGCGTAGAATACAAAGGATCGGGGCCCTGGGAGCGCGGACGCAGCGTAATTCACGAGGGATCGTGGCCGTGGGAGCGCGGACGCAGCGTAATTTACGAGGGGTCGGGGCCCTGGGAGCGCGTCCCCAATGTCATTTACGATGGATCGTGGCCCTGAGAGCGCGGACGCAGCGTAATTTACGTGGGATCGTGGCCGTGGGAGCGCGTCCCGTGGCACGTCCATTGGCACGTTCCGTAGCGCGTCCCATTGGCACGTCCCGCAGTGCGTTCCCATGGCACGTCCCGTAGCACGTCGCCTGGCGCGTCCCTTGGGACGGTCCGCGGTGCGTCCTCCTGGCATGTTCCCCTGTCAATTAGCTCTGGGGCAGCTACTATGTGCTCTGGCAGCTCGAGCTTAAGATCCAGATCAGATCGATCAGGACTCGGACGCAAAGGAGGACTCGATCCACAACGCTATAGAGCACAATCGCGGCATGGCACATCGCAGTTCAGCACGGCGCAGCACAGCACAGACTTCGGCACGGTACATCAAGATCGATACACTCATCATTGCATTTGCCCGTCGCCCAATCAGGTGTCTTTGACACGTTGCCATGTCTTACATTTCGATATTCCTTTCCGGGTTCGTGGGTCGATCATGTTTGACCTCTGAAAGTTACACATACAAGCCATGAGACGTAAGTTAGTGCCTCCTCTTGCTATTGGAATGCGAGGTTCGCGCGCGCAAGACCGCGGGGGGCGTACACGCCAGTCGTTCAAAGTCCCAGACACCAGTCCACTTCAAGCGCCTTCCTACTTCAAGAGTCGATCTGCTTTTGCCGTGTTTTGTGGTTCTCTGGCAGGACCTGAATCCAATCTACTTTTCCAGGAAAGGGCTCCGGCCCAGGGTTCTCTTTAAGATGGTCAACCCCCGGTTTTGACTTGAAGGAGGCCGGCGGATTTCCGCTCGATAAAAAAAGAGGTAAAGTCCAATTCGGCGTGAAACAATACGTTTCGCGCGTGCCCGCTCGAGGAAAGTGAGCCCCCCCAGCTTGGATCCTCAAAAATAACGGGGTCCGCGGACCATTGTTTGCCTTCGTAAACAAAAAGGGTGCGGGGCATTTTCAGCAGAATCCTGGAAAAAACGAGGTCTGGAGCCCCGAAAGCGACGCGGAATTCCGAGGATGTCTCGCGCGTGCCGCGTCACGCGCGCAGGAAGTTCGAGGATGTCTCGACTAATTCGCTGGTTTTTCCCGGAAAGGGCAGGTGCCCAGGGTTCTCTTTTAGTATGCTTACCCCCGGTTTCGACGGCTGTAGGGCCGGCGGAATTATCTTGCGATAATAACGAGGTCGACTAGGGCCGGCGGGATTATTTTTGAGGATGTCTCGATCGAAACGATTGTGTTTCAGAATTTGTTGGCGAAACGCTTGTTTTGTGTCATAGATTGTCCTCTCCTGGGGACCAGAATTCAAAGGATCTCTCAAGTGAAATGCTTGTTTTCACGTGTCCAGGTCTTGATGATGTCTCGAGCGAGATGCTTGCTTTCACGCCTCCAGGTTGCCCAGGCAGAGGTCTAGCGCCAGGATTTGTTGAGGATGTCTCGAGCGAGACGCTTGGTTTCACGCGTCCTCGTCGCCCAGGCGGATGTCTAGCATGAGGATGTGTTGAGGAAGTCTCGATCGAGATGCTTGTTTACACGTGTCCAGGTTGCCCGTGGCACATCCATTGGCACGTTCCGTAGCGCGTCCCCTTGGCACGTCCGGCGATGCGTCCCCATGGCACGTCCCCTGGCATGTCGCTTGGCGCGTCCCTTGAGACGTTCCGCGGCGCGTCTTCCTAGCATGCCCCCTTGTGAAGGAGCTCTGGGGCAGCTACTATGTGCTCAGGCAGCTCGAGCTTAAGATCCAGATCAGTTCGGTCAGGACTCGGATGCAAAGGAGGACTCGATCCACGACGCTATAGAGCACAATCGCTGCATGGCCCATCGCAGTTCAGCACGGTGCAGCAAAGCACAGCCCTCGGCAGGGTACATCAAGATCGATACACTCAGCATTGCATGTGCCCGTCACCCAATCAGGTGTCTTTGAAACGTTGCCATGCCGAACATTTCTATATTCCTTTCCGGGTTCGTGGGCCGATCATGTTCATGCTCAGCCCACCCAGGGAGATCTCTAACATGATTGTCCTGAGCTGGAGCCACATGTTTTTACGTGTCCAGGCCACCCAGGGGGTATCTAACATGGTTGTCCCGAGCTGGCACCGTGTTTTTACGTGCCCAGGCCACCAACACGACGCTTGTCCCCAGCACGTTCTGTAGCGCGTCCCCTTGGCATGTCCCGCGGTGCGTCCCCGTGGCACGTCCCCTGGCACGTCGCTTGGCGCGTCCCTTGGAACGTTCCGCGGCGCGTTTTCCTGGCATGTTTCCTTGTCAATTAGCTCTGTGGCAGCTACTATGTGAGCTTAAGATCCAGATCAGTTCGATCAGGACTCGGATGCAACGGAGGACTCGATCCACAACATTATAGAGCACAATGGCGGCATGGCACATCGCAATTCAGCACGGCGCAACACAGCACAGCCCTCGGCACGGTACATCAAGAGCGATACACTCACTCAACATTGCAATCTGGCACGTTCCGTGGCGCGTCCTGTGGCAAGTCCCCTTGGCACGTCGCGCGGCGCGTCCCCTGGCACGACCCGTGGCACGTCCTGTGGCACGTTCGCGTCCCCTTGGCACGTCCCGCGGTGCGTCCCCATGGCACGTCCCCTGGCACGTCGCTTGGCGCGTCCCTTGGAACTTTCCGCGGCGCGTCTTCCTAGCATGCCCCCTTGTGAAGGAGCTCTGGGGCAGCTACTATGTGCTCAGGCAGCTCGAGCTTAAGATCCAGATCAGTTCGGTTAGGACTCGGATGCAAAGGAGGACTCGATCCACAACGCTATAGAGCACAATCGTCACGTGGCCCATCGCAGTTCAGCACGGCGCAGCACAGCACAGACTTCGGCACGGTACATCAAGATCGATACATTCAGCATTGCAATTCGGCACGTTCTTTGGCACGTTCCGTAGCGCGTCCCGTGGCGAGTCCCCCTGGCACGTCGCGCGGCGCGTCCCCTGGCACGACCCGTGGCACGTCCTGTGGCACGTTCCGTAGCGCGTCCCCTTGGCACGTCCCGCGGTGCATCCCCGTGGCACGTCCCTTGGCACGTCTCTTGGCGCGTCCCTTGGGACGTTCCGCGGCGCGTCATCCTGGCATGTTCCCCCGTCAATCAGCTCTGGGGCAGCTACTATGTGCTAGGGCAGCTCGAGTTTAAGATCCAGATCAGATCGTTCAGGACTCGGATGCAAAGGAGGACTCGGTCCACAACACTATAAGAGCACAATCGCGGCATGGCACATCGCAGTTCAGCACGGCGCAGCACAGCACAGCCTTCGGCACGGTACATCAAGATCGATACATTCAGCGTTGTAACTTGGCACGTTCCTTGGCACGTTCCGTGGCGTATCCCGTGGCGAGTCCCCCTGGCACGTCGCGCGGCGCGTCCCTTGGCACGTCCCGTAGCACGTCCATTGGCACGTTCCATAGCGCGTCCCCTTGGCACTCCCGCGGTGCATCCCCATGGCACGTCCCCTGGCACGTCGCCTGGCGCGTCCCTTGGGACGTTCCGCGGCACGTCCTCCTGGCATGTTCCACTGTCAATCAGCTCTGGGGCAGCTACAAGTTATGTGCTCAGACAGCTCGAGTTTAAGATCCAGATCAGTTCGGTCAGGACTCGGATGCAAAGGAGGACTCGATCCACGACGCTATAGAGCACAATCGTGGCATGGCACATCGCAATTCAGCACAGCGCTGCACAGCACAGCCCTCAGCACGGTACATCAAGATCGATACACTAAGCATTGAATTTGCCCGTCGCCCAATCAGGTGTCTTTGAAACGTTGCCATGTCTTACATTTCTATATTCCTTTCCGGGTTCGTGGGTCGATCATATTCCCGCCTTCCTACTTCATGCTTTTGCCTGTTTCATCCGATCGACGTGTGTCGACCGACGGCGACCCCGCCAGCGGCGTTCAGCTTTGAACGCCGCAGGCGACCCAGAATCGTTCGATGTGGAACGATTTGGACGTTTCGGGGACGCCCGATCGTTCCAGGCTGAACGATCCCCGCGGTGTCAGGAGCCAACGCCCGGTTCGACTCGACACGAACCCACGGTACAGTCGGGGCGCTGAAGAAGGAACCCTTTTCGTTGGGGAGGGGCTCGGTGTTCCTTGATTGTTTAACAGTTTGCCTCAGGTTGTCCTGATGATTTCCATGGGAAATGGAAGTTTAACTCATGGGAAAGAGGGGCCGCGTTCCTTATTTAGGGTTCCTTAGGTCAACGCCCCGACTGTACGCATCTCGGTTGCTCGCGCACCGCCCGCCCGCGCCGCGCAGGACATGCTGAAGCAGCGCCCGCTCACGCTGCGCTTCGGCGACGAGTGACCCGCGTGGCCCGCGCGCTGCTGCCCGCCGCGGCAGGCCCTCGCCGCCCGCCAGGGGGCCTCAGCCGCCGCGCGCCGCCGCTTGCAGAGGCCGCCCCGCGCCGCCCGCGCCCGCCGCGGGGCCGGGCCAGCTCGCGGTCTCGGAGGAAGTCCGGCCCGCGCCCGCGGCTGTGCTGGCGATCCAGTGCCGCGTCGTCGTGCTCGAGCCCAGAGGTTTTTTTGGAGGAGGAAGGGGTGCCGATGCCGCCGCCCCTCGCGCCCGTCTCCATCGTGTTCGGCCTCCTCGGAGGCCCTCGCTGCCACCGCTGGATGCGCCTCGAAATCCTGGTCGGAGCGTGGCCCGGGAGAGGTCTGGGGAGTAGCGGCATCGGTACCTTTTGGTTTCCCCAGAGGTCCTGGCGTCTCGATGTCTTCCGAGCTTAGCTTTTGAACGCCCGGTTTCAGGCCCCGGGACCCCCATATGTCGATCCAGCTCGAAAAATAGCGCAGACAGATGGGACCCGGGGCTCATGCTCATTTTCCATGATTTTGCTATTTTTGCCGCATCCTCGAGTCTCAGAGGATGGAGGGTTTCTCCGAAGGTTTTAGGTGACCCGTCCTCCTCCTCCTCCTCCTCCTCCTCCTCCTCCTCTCTCCTCCTCTCCTCCTCCTCCTCCCCCTCTCTCCTCCCCTCCTCCGCCTCCTCCTCCTCCTCCTCCTCCTCCATTCTCCTCCTCCTCCTCCCCTCCTCCTCCTCTTCCTCCTCTCCTCCTCCTCCCTCCTCCTCCTCCTCCTCCTCCTCCTCCATCTCCTCCTCCATCCTCCTCCCCTCCTCCCCCTTCCTCCTCCTCCTCCTCCTCCTCCTCCTCCTCCTCCTCCTCCTCCTCCTCCTTCCCTCCTCCTTCTCCTCCTCCTCCTCCTCCTCCTCCTCCTCCTCCCCCTCCTCCTCGGGTCGCCGACGGCCCCGGGGGAAGCCGTGCATCAGAGGAAGCCCGGGGAGAGTGGGCGCCAGCGCCAACGCCCAGAGCTCGTCAGGAGCAGCGTCAGGGGGGCAGAGGCTCAGGGGGAAGCGCGCTCCCATCCCCCCGGCGCACACTGATCGCCGACATGGGGGACCTCTTGGATGGGATTCTTCAAGCTGCGCGCATCCCCGCCAGCGTACTGGACTCGATTGCACAGGACACGCGAGAGGGCACAAGACCCTTCCGAGGGCCACACTGCCACAGGAATGTGTGAAGCATGGGTCGCGAGACACAGGACACAAAGGGTAACCTTGGGGGGCCCGACAGCTAGCCCACTCCACCCACGAACGTGGGGAGTCGCAATCGGGAGCCTGTCGCCCATCGATCGGCGATACATATATATATATACATATATATATATATAGTTGTGTATATATGTATATATTGCTGATTCGAGCTCGATGCTTCCCCGCCCGAGGCGTCCCCCTCTTAACATTTCTCCCCGTCGGCTCGCAGCCTGAGTCGTAGTAGTTGAGTGGGGAGCAGTGGTCTTCCCGTTACCGGCGCGCGCTTCTCTCGTGGCCTGTCTGGCCGCCTGGGGCGTTTTGATCCGTCTCTTTCGCCTGTCGAGCAGGGGGGCGCGCTTGGCACGCGTTTGACCTTCGTTTCATGATGCGTTCTCGTTGAATGTTCTGCATGCTCGTCTCAAGCATCTCGTTTGCATCCCCTGGCATCCGTGTCCCAGGGGCGCACCGCGTCATTCTTGAAGAAGCCCCATAGCCTTACTCGTCGGGGTCCTGAGTCCTGAAACGAAATCTCGATAGGGATGGCTTGTTGCGGCCCCCACATTCCGATATGCACCCCCTGCGAGGAGTAATTCGGCAATCATGTTCCCTTGCTTGAGGCGCGTACATGTTGACAAGCAGTGCAGTTCCGAGCGCTTCTCTTGGAATCTGAAGAACTCTGTTGTCGTCAATTTTGCATACTTATCCGTAATGGGCTCGCCCCCTGCCGCTGGCCCTCTCTATCATAATGGGATATCAGAGTCGTATTGGTGCGTCTCGGCGCTGCCTTGGTGCATCTGGGAACATCATGTGGGGGCGGATAGCAATCATCAGCGCATATTGAGACGTTGGTGTTAGCCTAGTGGCCTTCGGCCCATCCCGCCACCGTGTCTGGGTTGTGGGTCTGTTGCCTCTTGTATATGTGTTGGGGTGTCGTTGGGCACTTCTCGGGGGCCTCTTGGAGGCGGTTTCGGCGCCTCTTGTGGGCCTCTTGGGGCCTTGTGGAGTATCTGTTGGGCTTCTTGGATGCCTTTTTGGCGCGTCTTGGGCGCCTTTTGGGACCTCTTGGGGCCTCCTGGGGGCTTCTCTGGGCTTCTCGGAGCGGTTCCTGGGCCCTCTTGGAGCCCTCTCGGGCCGTCTTTGGGGCCTTCTTGGAGGTGGGGCTGTCTTGGAGCGGTCTTGGGAGCTTCTTGAGCCATCTTGGAGCGTCGGAAAGCCGAAAATGCGAGAACCCCAAGCTCCTTCAAAAACCTTTCGTACCATCGACGATGTCGGCCTCTAGGGGCTCTCTCGGGAGGCCTCTTGGAGCGCTCCTGGGGCCGTCTTGGAATCATCTTCGGGCGCCGTGGAGCACGCGTGGCCTCGGCAATACGAAACTGGCGTAATGTGCAAGGGTTTATGGCCACGTGAACGCGTACATTGAATCATTTACGGGGGGGTATTGCCTCGGGGGGCGCAAGAGTTGAGCAAGTTGCGAGGGTTTGTGGCCTCGGAGACGCGAATAGTGAGTAATTTACAAGGGCTTCTTGTTTCGGGGACGCGATTATTGAGCAAGTTGCAAGGGTTTGCGGTCTCGGGGACGCGACTATCGCATACTTAACAAGGAATTCTAGTTTCGGGGACGCGAGCATAGTATAATTGATACCAGCTTCTTGTTTCGGGGACGCAACATTTGAGTAATTTACGAGGGTTTGTTGCCTCGGTGGCGCAAACATTACACATTTGCAAGGGTTAATGGTCTTGGGGACGCGAATCTCGTATACTTTACAGAGGGTTGTTGCCTCGGGGACGCAGCAACAGCGAAATTTGAACGGGTTGTTGTCCTAGGGGCGCGAAAATTATATAATTTGCGGTGGATCGTGGCCTCGGGGGCGCAAGTGTGGCGCATTTTGCAAGGGATCGTGGCCCCAGAGGCGCGAATGTAGCGTGATGTACGGGAGATCGTGGCCTCGGGGGCGCGAATACGGTATATGTTGCAAGGGATCGTGGCTTCGGAGGCGCGGACTCTGCATAATTTGGTATGGATCTTGGCTTCGGGGACGCGAACACAATGTAATTTACAACGGATCGTGGCCTCGGGGGGGGGGGGCGAACGCTGTATTATTTTTCCAGAAATTGTGACCTCGGGGACGCGAATGTTGTTTAATTTGCACGGGATCGTGGCTTCGGGGGCGCGAGTGTGGCGTAATGGGATCGTGGCTTCGGGGGCGCGAACGTTGTTCAATTTACAATGGATCGTGGCCTCGGGAGCGCAAGTGTGCCGTAATTTACATTGGATCGTGGCCCCAGAGGCGCGAATGTAGTATAATGTGTGGGAAGTCTTGGCTTCGGCGGCGCGAATATGATATATTTCGTCAGTGATCGTGGCGTCGGGGACGCGGGTGTGGTGCAATTTGCGGGGGATCGTGGATTCGGGAGCGCGAATACAGCGTAATCTACGACGGATGATCGCGTCGGGAGCGCGAATCTCATGTATTTTTGCGTGTCCCACGGCCCCGCAGGAATTCAGACAATGAGATCCAAGTGTGATAGTGGGGTCCTTTTCGGGTCCCCCCCGTCGCGCTGACTTCAACAACTTACAATGGGAAACAGAAAGCAGGACTGACACAATGGAAACTGGAAACTGGAACTGGTGCAGGGAGCAGCAAGCCGAACCCTCGCAGCCTGATGGCCCCACAAGGAGGCCGGCGGATTCCAATTCTTCACGCTTCGCGTTTCCCTGCCAGCCAATTCAGAGGCTTTGCCCATGAGAGTTGACGGGAAAAGGGGCGAAGAGAAACATATGGAGATGTAAGGCTTGTAACCAGGGTGGACAGAGAGATTTCTGGGAGCAAGCGGGTGGCCTTGGAGGGCCTCTTCGGGCCATCCCTGGGGCCCGAAAGGGGGCGAGGAGGAGGAGGAGGAGGAAGAGGAGGGGGAGGAGGAGGAGGAAGAGGAGGAGGAGGAGGAGGCAAGCCCCCTCTTGGGGCCTCGTGGGACGCCGTTGGGCCGCTCTTGGGGACGTCTTGGGGCCGTTTTGTGGCCCTCTAGGAGCTCTCGTGGGGCTCTCTCTTAGCATCCCTGGAGGGCGTCTTGAGGCCATCTTGGAGGCTGTCGATCCTCGATTTGTCTCCCCCCTTCTGGGCCCACAAATTCGCCTTTGGGCTCCTTCTTAGGGCGCTCTTGGGGCCGTTTGGTGGGCCCCTCTTGCGGCTCTTTTGGGCCATGTTGATGTCATCTTTAAGGCCTCAGAAGCACATCGCAAGAGAACGCCTTAGGTGTTTGACGGGTTTGGGCTTGTTTGGGGTGTCTTGACGGGGTTCCGCGAGCATTTGGAGCCGCATTGGAGCGGTTTTCGGGAAGTCTTGGAACAGATTGAAAGCCAATTTCGAAAATCTTGGGCCATCTTGGAGCATCGGAGGCCATCTTGAGCCATCTTGGATGCTCTAACCCCTTGGTCCCCCTCCTAAGAAACCTCAGGGAGGGGAGGGGGAAGGTACCCCTCCCCGAGGGGAAGAGAACTTTGGAAGAGAAAAGACATACTATTTGACTACCAATGCCCAGAGGGCGGGTGGAATTCTTCTCCAGGGTAGGATAGGGTAGAAGCATGTATAGCGAAGTGGCACAGAACCTGTGCCATCTGGTGTTTTGATGTGGCGGCGGGGTTCGCGGTTCAGATACCCTTTGGCAATCGGGCTTCGAACGAGTTCGCCAGAAGTTGCTGGTTGGTCGAAACACGAAGACGTTGGGGGCCCATGCCAATAAACACCTTGCTTGCCTCCAGGGTGCCCTGGGTTTCTTGGGTTTCGATGGTTTTGCTATGGAAAGCGTGACGTTCCCACACCACAAAGCGATGGACGTCCTGGGGTCTCGGGGTTGGGGTTCTTGTGGAAGGTCTCTTGTGGCCAGGCCCCCACTGTGCCTTCTCTTGACGGTGCGTGCTCGTGTTTGGCAGCAGGCGGCCGACGTGCAGGTTCGGCGTGACGGC